GAACTAAAACACTTAAGGAACAGAAATCCTTTTTACAGCTCATTTCCAGCGTCAGTATATAAGCATCAGTCAGACAGTTTATAACTGAAGACATTTACATTTTAAGCGTATTATTCTGAACTTTAATTATAGTTTTGTCCCGCTTTTAACAAACAAACACAGTCTGCTCCAGTTGTTCCCTGTAATCTAAAAGCTTGTTGAGCATTTCTACTTTGAAAATGTATAATTATCATCTTTATCCCGTTCCTCTCTGTCTAACTTTACTGATTCTCTTTGCACCCTTTCCGTGCAGCCTCGTGGTTTTTACTCTTTTTATTGATGAACACACTCGGCAATCACTAAACCCTCAAAGTTATTTAAAAAGAGACCAGGTTTTGTCATGTGGCAGCGAAGCTAATGACCAAAGTAAGATTTGGTTAATGAGGGAATTTGCACACATATCATACTCGCAAGTTGAAATGATGGCACACCCTGCAAAAGACACAGCGGCTAGTGTTATTGATCCAAGACAAATGAACAAATGAAAGATAAGGAGGAGGAGGGGGGGGGGGGGGGGGGTTAGAGGAAGGAAACTTAGGGTGGGATGCGGAGCTATCATGTGCAAGACAGAGCGTTGTTACGGCTCATCTCCCGCCTTCTCTCTCTCTGTTCAGATCAATATCTCTGCATTTGCTTACACAGAGTTAAACCAGTGAGTTAGTCAGTTCCTCCTATGGTGTGAAACAGGTGCAGTTTGGAGATGAGATGGACAGAAAGACTAAAGGACAAACACAAGGAGGTGAAAAGATGGGGCTAGACCTGGAGGATCCTAAAGTAGAGAAAGAGAGGTGGAGGGATATGAGAGAGTGGAAGTGGCGACCCAGTTCAATCACTGCTTGTTTGTGTTTTAAGAGGCACAGCAGTTAAGAGCATTGTGGCACGAGGATGGGAGGTGGGGGGTATGCATCTATGGGAGTATAACCTCACTCCCTGCACATCATGCAAAGTACAGGCCAACACTTGTAACTGCATGAGAAGCATCTTTCATGAATTTACTGCAGTACTGCACTGATACACAATAATAAACGCTTAGCCTTTATAATGCATGCATGATCATCATGTGGGGACGTACCTTCTCTCTGAGTTATGATTGCCATCCATCCATCCTTGCATCCACACAGCCAGCCAGTCAGTCAGTGCAATGTCATTGTTTGGAAAACACTGTTCCAATAGTAATTGTTACAATTGCCTTTCATACAACTTAAAACAGAAAGAGGAAATAAAAAATCTTACATATGGAAATTGCAGAGATGTTTTAACCTTTATAAACATACTAAATGAAAAGGTACATGTGTCCAAGACTATAATTAAAAGCATATTTCTTAAATCAATAAAACGAATTTATGCGAAAAAATATTAGACGAGAATATTGAATATATATTAGTGCAAATAACTATATCTGGAGACGAAAATAGTGTAAAACTATTGTACTTATAGAAAAAAATGTATATCAGTTAGAGGTACTTTCAGCCTCAAACATTATTGGTAAAACATATTGATGTTGTTAATCTCTTAATTTTATCATCTGTAAATCATGAAGTGTTACAAAGAATGTGTTAAATGGCAGAATATCCCATAGATTTTTCTATTGATCTTTGATGTTCAGAGTTGATTATTAAATGTTTTTTATTGCCGGAAGGACTTATTGATTAGTGGTTTAAAAGCTGAATTGGATCAGTAAGAAGTGTTTTTCTGATGCATCTCCTTTCCTTTGTTCATCCTGTTTTTCAAAAATATTCTCTCCTTACAGTAAAACAAGGAAAACTTTAAGCTAGTGAATAACAGCACAGTTGTTTGTAACATTCCATGTGTTCTTTATCTAAGAAAAATGTTGATAGAACCTGAAAATGACTAATAGGAATTCCCAAAGTGGTTATTTCTCATTACACAATTTAATCAAAATAAACAAAAAATCTGCTCACATCCTTTGTTACATGCCATTCAGTTCATGCTCATGGCAGGGAATTAAAACAAATAACTTTTTTTTTCTTTTTCTTTTTTTTTTTACAAATCATCTGGTATTTTTTTATTGTTTTTATATACATGTACTGATCCTGGTGCTATTTCTGAATGTATTAATAGTTCTTCTAAATCAGATATGATTTTAATTGAATAGGGAGTAGGATCCCAGATTAGTTATGTAATTTATTCTAGCGATTCAAAATTAAGCATAACTGAGAAGCTTATATTTTAATTAATTCAGCAGACACAAATGTAAATGTAAATTACCACCTTATAAAGAAACTATTGAGCTTAACATTTTATATAAAAATATAATTAAATAGACTAAAATCGTGTTTTATATGGTTTATTTGGTGTAATGTTGGTGGAATGATTTATACTGAGCTGAATTCATATGAACTGAATCAATTAGAGTGAGTTAGACTCTGTTAAACTGAATTAAACCAAACTGAAATGTACTGTGCAATGGAGTAATTTGCTTTCTAGGTTGAACTAAATTAAAATAAAAACATGAATCCACCCCAAACCCTCCTTCAACCCTGACACAGAATAAGCAGGTTTACACATTAGCTCAGCTGATCTGGAGTTAAAATAAATCAAGCTGAACTGTGTTAAAGCAAAATAGACTCAACTGAGTTGATTTAGACTGAGTTAAAATGAATTAAATCCAAAAGAAGTAAACTCATTTGAGCTGAGTTTGAACTCAATTCATTTAAATTAAATGCTGAATAAGTCCAAACTGAATCAGTAGACAAGGGACAATTCTGCCAATATCCAGTAAATGACTAGAATTAAAGCAGGTATACAGAAATTATGGATGAAGTCAATAATCTAAAACAGAGAAAATGTGTCTATAATTAGACAAGTTGAAATGAGCTTAATTGATGATTGAATTGAGTAATAGATTAGATTGTTGGTTAGACCTCAGATTTAAAAAAATAAAATGTATGTATTAAATTAGTAATGTTGCTTTAGTATTGCACTACAACAAAACATGCAGTTTTTTCTTTAAAAACGTGTTTATGAATGGTGTGCCAGACCAGGACTGATTGGATCCAGTTCCTTTACAATATTTATCTCCACTTCATGTAACTTTGTCTGTGATGAATGATTGATTGTAATGATATAAAAGCCACCAGTGCACTTAGTGGGGCATTTAGTGTTTACAGCCTGCTCAACAGCATTCCTCTTCTGATTAACTAGAAGCAACATCTAAAAATGTGGCGGTTACAGGCTGACTATTGGGGAAAATGTCACTTTCATTGAGTGTCACTTTCACGCTCATTTGGGATTTTATTGCTTTGAAAAATGAGATAAATGTTTTATTTCACACTCTATTTTTTGTTATTAATGATTTTTTGTGTGTGTGTGCTTTTTGTGCAGAAGCTCTTGTGGATGCCTGACCTTAATTTCTAAGTACAGTGATTTGTCACACCTTTCATTTGTATGACGCAGCAAGCCGGCTTCCCGACAATTGTGATTCGAACAAACATGCAATCTATATTAAAAGTTGTGCCTAAAAAAAAAAATGCTGCTGCCAATTCATTAAGATTGGTTACGCATGCTGAATGCTGCAGGAGTTGTGGGAGCAAATGTGAAAAGTTCTTTTTGGGAGGATGTGATGAAATGATGGAGGCGTGAGGAGTGAGTTACATAGATTTAAACTAATAGGGGGGGTCAGGAGTGTGCCGCCTAGCCTGTCACAAAGGGAGGGGATGAAGATGGGTTGTGGACAGCTGGGAGACTTTTTAATAAAAAAAGTCTTTTTTTTTTTAAGAGTGGGAGGAAAAGATGTAGAGATGGGCAAAGCTAATGAGTTGGGTTTTCCAGAGACTTTGCATTCTGCTCGTGGTGCTCGCTGTATCTCTCTCCACTGTGGAAGAGCTGGCTGGAGCGAGCTTCCTGTCTGAGCCCTGAAGCAGGAGTAAATGAGGGGTGGGTATGAAAGGGGGTGTTGGAAGCAATAGAACAGAGGAAGGAGGAGAAGGGGAGGAGGGTGAGGGGCGGCAAGGAGGGAGGAGATCCAGTGTTGAAATTGAATGCCAGGGCGCCATGTTCTCACCGCCAGCGTTTCCATGGTTACAGGGTAATTCTGGCGAGTAAGGAAATTTCATTCACTTTGCTATGAAGAAGAAGACAAAAACAATGGGGGAGGGTATTAACAAAGCAGCAGAGGTAGAGAAAGGAATACATAATCAAAATTATCTATATAAAGAAAAACAATAAGGGAGGACATAAGAAATAGGCAGGAGGAAACATCTAGTGGGGTTTATGCCACCCATCCCCCAGGCGAACTGCCTCTCTGTCTCTGATTCCTTTTTTTTTTTTCCTTGTGTATTCCTGTGATGCCTGGTTTGTTTGCCACCACCCTATCAGCAAACACAACACCCACCCACAGTCTTCCAGTTCTTCAGCAGCCCTGCAGGTATATGCTGAAGAACAAAGAGAAACACTGCTAACTGGCCGCTGTGTATGTTTTTATAAGTGTGTGTGTGCGTATTGTCACTTTTTCCTGGGGAGGGCAAATGGAGGAGCTGCTGCTGCTGCCGGGATCATTTCAGGCAGAGGTCTAAGAAATCAGGAGGCTGCAGAATTGTATACATGACACATCTGTGTAGTTGCAGCTTATGTCTGACAGGCTCCTCAAAAGTTGATTATAAGAATATTACATCTTCAGACTCGCAAAATTACAAAGGAGAACAGCTGAAATGTTTGTTTGCATATAGAAAGCTGAACATGCAGGCATGTGTATCAACCCATACAAAAACAGACACACTCACACTGTCTGTTTAACAAGGGCTGACAACTGGAAAAGGGGGGGGTATGTCAGTGCAGCCAGGGTGACAGCTGTACAGCCAAGCAACCCCTGTGCACACACACCCCACACATAGAGAAGCAGTATGTGTGCATCATCATTTCTGATATGATCATCTCTATATTTTATTATCCATGACTCATATGAATAATAACATTGTTTTTTTTTCTTTCCTTTCTTCCAGTGGCTGAGGAGGGGCTTTGGGAATGCGGACTGTCCTACGAGTGCAGGACCCTCCTGTTTAAAGCCATACATAACCTGCTGGAAAGGTAAAACTGATAAGCAACAGAGTGACATTTTTTAAATATAATTTACATTTAAACAGGATAAACCACAAAGACTAACTAAACTAACTTAATTAATTTCTTAATTTGTATCCAACTTCATTTATAGGGAAATATAACTTACTCAGTGTGTTTTGGCCCTGATATGCAATTCTTTTGCTCCATCACCTACTCCATAGCACTATAAATATTTTCTCACCCACCAAAATCACTGAATTTGAGATTGCAACAACAGGTCTATAAAAACGAGCACCTGGACATTCTGAATGCTTCTACAGACATTATTGAAAGAATGAATCACTTTTAGGAGCTTAATGAATTTCACTGGCATTGTGAAAGAATGCCACCTGTTTAGTAATTCCACTTGTGCAATTTTCCTCACTAAATGTTCTACTATCAAGTGTTGGCATGATATAGAACATAATGGAAGCACCAGGGAACAATAGCAATTTAGCCTCAAAGTAGGCCACATATAGGAGGAAGGTCAGTAGATGCCGGGACATAGAGATTTCTGGGTTTTTCTACAGTTAACAGCTGCAGTCAGCCAAACTTCATTTTTTCACCAGAATACTGCCAGAGTATAGAACTTAATAGAAATGGTTTCCCCTGGCTAAGAAGCTGCACCCGAGCCTTTTGGGTCCGTCATACCAAAGAATCCAAATTCTTCTGCCAAAAAGCACATGAACAGAACAAATAGATGCCATATTGCCTTCAAAAAATAAAAGTTAACGTTCTCTAGAATCACTGAAAAAGAAGATGTAACTAAAGAAAATATAAGGTGGAGAAAATCTGTTTTTATAACTAAAACATTTTGAATTTTACAGTTTCATAATAATATATATAGTCAGAATTTGCTTCATTGAAGAGGCAAATAAAAAACATTTTTATTTATTTTGGGTTTAGAGACAAGATGACAGACCCCCAGAAAATTGTCATGTAATTAAAATAGCTTTACTTTTTGGAAACTGAAGCTAATAGATGGGGGAAAAAGCTATCCAGTTTGGCTATACTAAAAAGTATAGCAGATATTGACAAACTATGACTTGTAACTGTGGCTACACAGACAGAGAAAAAAAAAATAACTGCAAAGAATTAAAGGTTTTTTTAGGTTAGCTTTATCCCTGTAAATCCTCCATAACTTCCACTCTTTGGTTTATCACCTCCCTTAGCTGGATGATTAGTTTCCAGCTGTAAGTGAATAGTAGAAAATGTTCATGTTCTGGTAAATAATAAAAAAAGCCTCCCTGATTTTATCTCTGAACATCAGATGTCCCTGGCCATCAAATAGATCCTATTCCATATGCCTGCCTTTCCAGGAGTAAACTGTTTATTCTTCTGATGGGGTGTAGGACATTAAAACCAGCGGTACACAGAGATCTTTGCTACTTTTATTTACCCTCTGCGGATGAGATCACACATGGGGTTAAGATTTTTACTGTAAGAACTGCAAAAGGAAGGTATTTTTGAAGTCAGTGAGAAGCCAAAATATTAAATCCATTTACAACAACTTGCAGCATTTTTCTGTTTTATGCAGATCAAAACCGTCAAAAGGGGATTTTTACAACTTTTCATTTGTGCAAAAGCCATTTTAAATGTAACATTTGTAACTCTAATTGAAACACAGACAATTAGAACATAAAAAAAGGGAAAAAATGGGGTAGGTATTTCAGCATCAATAAACTAATCAGTGGAGAGTTGGAGAAACAGGCTAAAACTGTCTAAAGCTTATATTTGCTTAAAGTGGATGCTGCTGCGATGTTTTAAAATGTAAAAAATAAAATATACAGCTTACTGTACCTTCCTGGAAAACTGTAATGTAAATGTTTAGGGGCTCAAAATTCATATACCTAAATTGTTTAATGCATATTTCAATAGACACAACAAAACAGCTTAGTTTAAAGTATACACTACTTTTTCTTTTATAAGTTTCATTATAATGAAATTATAATCTGTGTGCTGAATCACTTGCTCAAGCACCCAAAGCTCTCCTTTCTGAGTTGGAGCCATCTGTTAAATGAAGCAGCACATATTTGCTCTCTATTAAGTTAAGCCTCAGTGATCATCACAGGGGAAAGGCAGAATTAACCTTCCTATTACCTTGGAGTTGACTCCTTTTATAACTTACTGTTTCAACACTAGAGGGATCACTTTAGCTTTGCTTTTATATACTGCAATGTCCGTCCAATGAGTATCCCATGTTGTTATATAAAGATAAATGATTTATAAATTTGGTGAGATTTTAATCAATATAATAAAAAAGGACTTTAATTATTTTAGAGGTTGAGCTGTTATAAAGATGTTTTTCACATAGATGCGTCGTTTAGCTCCTGTGCTTAGTGATAACTTTTAAAATAAGACAGTGCTCAGTGTCTGGGGGAAATCAGCTAATGAGACACAGACGTTTTGTTGAGTCAATAAAGGGAAATGTCTTCCACCAGATTTATGGGGAAAGATTTATGAGCCGCTGCAGCAGGCTTTTGAGTTTATTATCATTTATTAGTGGATATAAAGTATCCCACAGTCTTAATCTGCTCAGAGATCAGCACATGAAAGCGCTGTGTGATAACTGATTTCACTGTCGATTTTTAGAGTGCATAGAAATAATATTCAGACTTTAGTAATGATGATAATAAATGACAAATAAAAACAATTGGAAATTACTCGCTGTAGCAAACGTCATAGCTATCTAGCAGTTCTGTGCTCTTTAGTGTTTCACCAGTTTAATCTCTTTCATGTCTTTTTAAAGCAGAAGCTGAGCTTGTGAAGTTTGCATTGCGTTTTCATTGATAGGGTTGCTTACGGTATATCTACAATAGTTTTCTCTTTCATCATGATATGTTTCTATACAAGATACATTTAATTTTACTTCAAGCCCTTTTTCCTGTTTGGATCAGGCAATGGGAAAGTTTGCACCTAATAGGAGTAAAAATAACTGAAGTAGGAAAATTTGAGCAGAGACCTAAAAGATTTACTAAGTGATGAAATCTCGTCTTTTCAAAAGCAGATCATATTCCGATTGAAGACCCACCTCCTACTGTGCTTGCCTCTTTTTGCTGGGGTAAAAAACATGGATACGTTTTTCTTTGTCAGGCACGGAATGACTACGCTTAACTTTTCTAAAACAAATGCAGAAGGTGCTAAATTGGATATGAAGTCTTTACGTTTAGATGTGTTCTAATGTTGGAAAAACATCATGTCAGTAAAAAAAAACCTCTAGATGTGAAAATAAGCAAACCTTTGGTTCAAAGTTGTCATAATTTGCTAGGATTTTTTTCAGACCCACAGAGTCTAAACTGATATTAGTGAATTAACTGCTGGATTTAAAACGCTTTGTCTGAATTAATCTGCATGCAGATTTCCAAATGCTCGATAAGGACTTTTCAGTTATTTTTAAAGTTGTTTTTAAATTCATAAATTTCAATAAACTGACATAATCTATGATATTTATTCCCAGATATTAATACATTTTGGGTAAAAGGTGCAATTATTCATTTGGAAGAATAGTGTGCAAATGTAGAGATCATAGTAGATTGATCATGATATCTGTAAAAAGATAAACAGCATAAATAAAAGATTAATTCAAGTATAAAAGCTGCTTAAGTAAGTCCAATAGCAAAAATGCAATTAAAATTGTTCCAGAATCCATACCTCTAGGGCTAAAATACTGTATGTCTCGGCAAGGTATTAAAATGTCTGACATAAAAAGGATATAACAAACAGCTGATTAGAAAATAAAAATATCCTGTTGCAACCTGTAAAGTAATAAAAAGTTGGCAGTAAAGTATTATAGCTGTGACCTCAATGATTTAAAGGTGTTATATAAAATACCACTCAAACTATACTGAATGATTAATATAACAGACGAGGCATACAGGAAACTATTTACAAACAATGTCTCAAAATATAAAAACATAAAACATATTATGTAGAAAGCTGTGCAAGTTCAAAGATTAAAACTCACATAAATAGCTAATTTCAAAAGATTGTGTAAATTTGGATCCGTTTCAGGATCTGTGTTGTTTTTTTAAGGACTGCTGCAGAGTCTAAGGTTGAAACTGACCCCACTGAGCTGTAGAGATGATTAGAAGTGTGAGATGTCATTTCTTGCCCAGCACCATTTTAACCAATGGAACTGCTCTCATTTGAAGTTTGCGTTCTTAATTTTATCATATGAGAACTGCTTTTCCTGCACTGGTTACATAATGAAATAAGCTAGCTTCAGGGAGGCTATGTATTTTGAGTTTTATGGTTTTTCTTAAGGAAAGACCTCGAACTTATATTAAAGTCACTTTTAATTTCCCAAAAGATATAAAAAACATTTTTTTTTCTTCCACAGGGTGTTTCATATCAATTTGTACGTCCATCAATTTGTACCCACATTTTGTGCCCTCTTTCATAAGCAATAAGTAAAATAAAATATATTTTCCACACTTATACTGATTTTCATCAAATTAAAAATTGGGGAATTTATTATGAAGTAGTGTTAGAACCTCTTCTTGATGACTTTATCTTTCTTGTCTGTTTTTTTCACAATCTAGAGAGGAGATTATTTTGTTAATTTTTCTTTCTTTGTTTACTCAATGCTCCAGATGTCTTACGGATAAGGGGTTCGTTAGGATCGGGAAATGGTTCTTTAAGCCACATGAACTTCAAGAAAAGTCTTTGGGCAGCAGGTAAGAAATTATACACGCCACTCATTTAAAGGGCAGTGTGTGTCCGCACGTCATGCTTTATTAAATCTGTGTGAAAGTGTGCTAATGTCACTCTGTGAGCCAGCATAACTGAGTTTCATGTGATGCAGTATTTGCTAAGCCTTGATATTCCAGCAGCAGGCCAATGGTGTGATTCTGTAAAAGAGAAACAGAGCATGTGAATGGTGTCCAGAGGTTAGGCCTCTGAGTGTGTGTGTGTGGTGTACGTGTGTGCACATGTCATGCTGTGTAACAGTGTTGTCAGCGTGGGAGACAGACAGAGAGACTGAAACAGAGTAAAACGAGAGGTGGGTGTGATGACAGTTCAACTTGTTGCTTCAGGCATTATAGATCCCCTTCACTGCTCTCTCTGCCCACTTTTCCGGGCCATCAGGATGCAACATTCCCCACATCTCTGACATAGCTCTGTTTCAAACGCATTGAAAAATGTTGAGTTTGCTAACTGCTGGGTAATCACTATTTTTCCATCAAAGCGCCGTCATTTTAGAAACCATCATATTGCTTACAGGCAGTGAATGTTTTTGATTTGGGTTATATGGCTATCTGCCCAGGGTGGCGAACCACAGGGGACTGCCACACTATAAAACATAGCTGTCAGTGCACAACTTCTGCATTAAAAGTATGAAGCATTTACGTAATGACAGAGATCGGTATCTGATTTAATCCTTATGCTTTTAGCGCTATATAAAGCGGTTATATAAATTAGTTTTTAATTAACGTAGCCTCATTTGGATCATCTAAACTTTTAAATTTAAAACTTAAATATTGATCAGAAATATTCAGGGGTGTTCAACAACCAAGTTAAACTATATATTTTTTAAACCCTTATTCTCTTTGTAGAAACATGAAAACCCTATTTTCAATGGATTCTTAACATTACAGCCAATTCTGATTAAAAAGCAAAACACATAGCTTGGTCATTATATAAAGAAAGGGATTTTTTTTTGTTTTCTTTTGCTTCAGGCTGGTCCTTGTGAGAGAAACGGGGTTGTGTTTGGTTATGTGGGTAGCAGCAGGAGGGCAAAGGTTCAAGCCAAAACTGCCACTGCATAGAGGCAGCAAAGCCACATATTTCCTTAGAAAGGGACTTGAATTTACTTGAAATAGTGTCTTTGTTATTAAAATGTTGTGCAAAGTAGGTGATGTGCAGGGAAGTCTCACTGCAGAAAGAAGCTGACACGATTGCACTGCGCCGTGATGTGCCATAGCAAAGCAAGTTTTAGCAGCTGAGAGCAGGTTGAGGTCCCCGCCTGAGACGTCGAGAGAGTGTGTTTGTCACTTATTCAGCTTATATCTGGGGAATTTGGTGTGCAGAGCTGATGTGATGGTGACATCTCTGTCTGTGAAGGTATTCTCTGGGTGAAATATGCTGCAGACTGAAGCAAGGAAAAAAAAGGCAGGAACTTCAACAGATAATATACTTATTGTGGAAGTTTCAATAGGAAGAATTAGTTACTACATGCTTATTCACTGTATTTGCAAAAAAGGATTTGAATCTGAAACCATCATAGAATAATCTAATAAGCTTTAGAGGCATTTCATTTATTTACTCAACATTTATATTACCACTTGTACCACTGTAATCTATCAATTTAATTCATCAAATTCATGCAAGAATAATAGCCTGTAATGGCTAGTGCATTTGCCCTATTGCCTTCCCAGATGTAAGTAGATGAATGAGATTAAATTCAGCTCCAGCTGTGATGTGGTTGCTGTAACATACCTTTGCAGAGGAGAGGGAGTCCCAGGACTGACGCAGCTCCTGCTGGAGAGATTATATCTCCCAGTTGTCTCAGAGCGATGGGGGATACCCCAGAAGCAGCTGGAAGAAGCTGGTACAGACAGAACATGGCTTCTGTGCTCCCAGAATACAAATACCCTCAACTGTTGAAGGACTGAAGCTAAACACGCCTCAACACAATACATATAGGACTATTGCTCTGGTCTTAAAACAAACAAAACAAGTAAATCCAGAAAAAAAGAAAGTTAAAAAACAATCCACTAGACTTTGTTTCCAAGTTTGAAGATGTTTCACTTCCCATCTAGGAAGCTTTTTCAATTAAAAATGTCAAGAATAGCATTGAGTTAAAAAAAAAAAACTTCCTGGATTGGAAGCGAAACGTCTTTAAACTTGGAAACAAAGTCCAGCGGATTGTTTTTACCTTTTTTTTTTTTTGGAACGACTATGACCTGGATGACTGAGAATCTTCACCAGCAAAACAAGTAAACAATCATAGATATATATTTTCCAGAATATATGACTCATTGAGTTGTTTCTACTATATCTCACTCAGTCGTAACACCGGCACACAGACCCAAGTATCAGACAATTTAGAGATTCTTTGATATACCTTACTTTAGATTTTCCTATAATATATTTTATGCTTCCATTTTTGTATCTGTGAATTTTTATAGACTTTAACCAGTCAGTGTTATTTGAGGAAGACTCTTTTTGAGTTATACGGTTAAATCATGAGAAAGTAGATGATAATCAGTCAGGTTTATCAAATCCAATCAAATGAGTGTATCTAATTAAAACAACTACACTTCAGGTCAATTCAAGCATTTATACATTCACATTTTGTAAAGGGTGTCTAGGGTTTTACAAAGTTTTAAGCTACAAAGTTTTCTTTGTTTAGTGAATTATTAAATAATTACATTGTAAAATGTGTGAGTTACATTTAAATTTGGTTATATATGGTTATCATTGAAATGGGAAATGTAAAAATCAGAGGAGTGCTTGGTAAACTGAAAAAAGTGTAGTTTAGAATGTAGTTTTTCTATCATAGTTTTTAAGTTTACTTCCTCATTTTACAGCATTCTGGTGAATATAAACCACATTTAAAAGAGCTTATGTCAGCATTTTTTGAATGAAGCTAATGTTGCAGTAAGTTGTGACATCTTTGTTACTCAAGATCCTACTGTGGAAGATGTTACATGACATGTTTTTTATTGACCAGCACATATATAAAGAAACAGAAAGTATAAAAGTTCGTCTATATTTTAAGTTTTTACAAAACCTATTATATGCTTAAAACAAGTCAGAAAAACTGAAATATTACTGTAGAGTTAAAGCTGATGAAAAATAAAGTTTTTAAAGTTCAATGTTAAGCGATTTTTCTCATTTCTACCGCTTTTGTCTGAGATGTAAAGCATTCGTCTGCTTTACAATGTTTAGGAATGAGGCTGATTGCTTTGTGTTATTAAGGTTTGATGCAGAGTCTGTATTACGGTGAGAGATTTCAACTTTACTCTATACCAAACTTAATGCACTATAGCAAAAACAAAACATCTTTGATTTATGTTTTTTTTAGGTCAACTTTTGAGATTTCTTTCATGCTTTTCAATCTTGGACTAATAATGCTTTTAATATATTTTAAACAAAAAAACCTAGAAAACAGCAAAAAACTGTTGATATGAATTCTTAAAGGAGAATGAACCAGAGGTAATCTGAAATAACTGAATGTGAGAATAAAATAAAATTAAATAAAGAAAAAATAGTTTTAGTACAACAACAGGAATGGAAAGTTATAAGGAAGACACTTGCATGAGAGTAGATGCGCATATATAAACATGAGTGGAGCGTTTTTTTGGAGGTTGCACAGGCCATTATGTGTGTTTGTGCTTGTGTCTGGCTGGGAGACATCTGTACATCATGTTAATTCCTCTTCGTTTCGAAAGCCTCTCTGCCGCCGGAATACACTCCACACCCCCTGCTGAGATAATCCAGACTCGTTTTTTTTGAATTATTGAACATCCTGAAGGCAAAGATAGGGAGAGAGATGGAGAGCAAAAGACGGAAATGTTCCTGAGAGCTCTCACCGAAAACAAATCCGAGTCGTATGTGTGTGCTGTAGAGGTGAATAAAACAACTTTTCATTATAACTCTCAGTTTGTTCCCTACAGTGACACTAAAGAAGCGCTGTTATTCACCAGTTATCTGCCCCTATATTCCCACATTTCCGTGTGTTTGTACTGTTACAAAGTTTCCCTGAAGTTGAGAGTGAGAAGACCTGCAGATCCCTGACCAGCAATATTTTCAGCAAACTCTGAAACATTCTTCACTAACAATGGCCTTCTTCCGTACATCTCTTCTTCACCTCTACACCATGCCTTTTGTCTCCATTAGGGGGTGTATTGACGCTAACATCCATACCATGCCCTCACAGCCAGGCCAGCTCCATCACCTTGGCACCGCTGCCTTTTCCAGGGCTTATCTGGTGTTTATCTTGTTTGTGTCCATTGGACACAGTGGGTTTTGTTAGATCCAGGAGATGATTCCCCCAGCCACCATCAAACCTCCGCCCCCCCTTTCCTTTTCTCTTTCAACCCAACTCTCCTGTTCTCTTTGTGTCTAAATGGGAGGAAAGCTCTCTGGGTTGGTAACGCATTGCATCAGACGCCAAGGGGAGACCGGAGCAGAGGGAGAGAGTAACAGGGATGCAGAGCGAGGAAGTGGAGACGAGGCATCTGAGAGGGGAGGAGCAGTGAGGCGGCTCGGTACGGGTGGTGGTGCGGTGGGGATCAGAGAAGGTGGGGGGTCGTAAATTAATCATCGCTATAGACGGCTGAATGGATGTATTAGAGTCTGTCTCCCTCATTAGTTCAGTCAATTCTTTGCATGCCAAGTATAACGCTCAGTGTTTTTTTTATATTGCAGCTTTCATTCCACTAATGGCCATAAACTCATGCATAAATAATATTTGTAGTTCACAGTAACAGACCTGTTCTCTGCTATAAAACAGGCCTGCAATCTGCGGTGCTTTCAGCATCTTTATGAAAAAGAAAAATCTTGTAAAAGAAGAAAAAAAGTGTCATAAAAATATTTAACGTTTTGCATTTTCATTGGGTAATGTTTAACATTTCTATAGTCATTTATCTTAAATAATTTTAGGTGTGATATCGATGTTAAGTTCTCATATAAATACTAAATTGACAGATGGGGTTAGTCTGCTAAACAT